TACTTTTTAGCAGTTCAATAACTAGATTTCTTCTCCTTTTCTACATTTTCTTCCTCCTCTGACATTGTTCTCGATTTCTACTCCTCCCTTTCTACATTTTCTTCCTCCTCTGACACTGTTCTAGATTTCTACTCCTCCCTTTCTACATTCTCTTCCTCTTCTGACATTATTCTAGATTTCTACTCATCCATTTCTACATTTTCTTCCTCCTCTGACATTGTTCTAGATTTCTACTCCTCCCTTTCTACATTTTCTTCCTCCTCTGATATTATTCTAGATTTCTACTCCTCCCTTTCTACATTTTCTTCCTCCTCTGACATTGTTCTAGATTTCTACTCCTCCCTTTCTACATTTTCTTCCTCCTCTGACATTATTCTTGATTTCTACTCCTCCCTTTCTACAGTTTCTTTCTCCTCTGACATTGTTCTCGATTTCTACGCCCCCCTTTCTACATTTTCTTCCTCCTCTGATGCTTGTTCCTGGAACAGTGGGAGAGATACGTGTCGGAATTCCATTTTTCCTTTCGAGAAATCTTCCACTATATGCCCCCCGCCATGGAGGAGCCATTTAGTGGTGAGTAGTCCCTCCACTCCTACGGGGCCACGGGCATGAATTCTGCTGGTACTTATAATAACATCAGCACCCCTGAAAAGAAAAATGAAAAATTAAAGTAATTTATACATTAATAACTTTTAAAAAATCCCCCTGTTTTATTTTTTTCTTCCTCATCGTCTATTTCCTTGAGAAAAACATCTGCAAACATCACGTTCTTTGTCCTGAGTTAACTTTTGAACGTTCTCAACCTCTCTAAAACCGCTGAATCAATTTCAAGCAATTTTGGTATGATGTATTTACATGTATGGGTGAAGAGGAACAAAAATTTCATGGTGCCCCCCCCCCCATCTGGCCGTAGGGGTGCGGCGAAAACAATAAAATTAATTCAATCTTTAAAAAAAATATACTTTTTTATTTTAAGACATCAAGTAGTAGAACTGTTGGCAGCATTAAGCCCTCTACCAAAATTATAAAATTCATTGGCTCAGGGGTTCTGTAGATAGGGCTGGGCTACATGTAGGGGTATATTGATTCCATAGTGAAAATACATTAATTTATTTTTTTGAAAATATTCTCCTCCTGGTTATTCTGAAAGAAAAACTCAATGCATAATTATCATGAAAATTGCCTCTTCGAAAACTGTGAATTAGGGGTAAAGAGAAGATATTTAGCTGTTGTAAAACAATAAGAAAACATGAAATATCATTGGAGTCAGACTTCAGACCCTTAAAAAAGTGAAAATAAAGAATTCGACTGTTTGTAATTATTTTAACTTACAAGAGATCTTAGGAAGAAAGAGAGTAAAGGGAGGTAAACACTACATAACGAGGGATGACATTGATCAGGGTAGCTATACACACTTCTACAAACAGAGGACATCGATCAGGGTAGGTGTATACACACTTCTACATACAGGGGACATTGATCAGGGTAGGTGTATACACACTTCTACATACAGGGGACAATGATCAGGGTAGGTGTATACACACTTCTACATACAGGGGACATTGATCAGGGTAGATGTATACATACTTCTACATAAAGGGGACATTGATCAGGGTAGATGTATACACTTCTACATAAAGGGGACATTGATCAGGGTAGATGTATACACACTTCTACATACAGGGGACATTGATCAGGGTAGGTGTATACACACTTCTATATACAATGGACATTGATCAGGGTAGGTGTATACAAACTTCTTCATACAGGGGACATTGATCAGGGTAGATGTATACACACTTCTATATACAGTGGACATTGACCGGGGTAGATGTATACACACTTCTACATACAGGGGACATTGATCAGGGTAGATGTATACACACTACTACATAAAGGGGACATTGATCAGGGTAGCTGTATACACACTTCTACATACAGGGGACATTGATCAGGGTAGGTGTATACACACTTCTACATACAGGGGACATTGATCAGGGTAGATGTATACACACTTCTACATACAGGAGACATTGATCAGGGTAGCTGTATACACACTTCTACATACAGGGGACATTGATCAAAGTAGATGTATACACACTACTACATACAGGGGACATTGATCAGGGTAGCTGTATACACACTTCTACATACAGGGGACATTGATCAGGGTAGATGTATACACACTTCTACATACAGGGGACATTGATCAGGGTAGATGTATACACACTTCTACATACAGGGGACATTGATCAAAGTAGATGTATACACACTTCTACATACAGGAGACATTGATCAGGGTGGCTGTATACACACTTCTACATACAGGGGACATTGATCAGGGTAGCTGAATACACACTTCTACAGATAGGGGACATTGATCGGGGTAGATGTATACACACTTCTACATACAGGAGACATTGATCAGGGTAGGTGTATACACACTTCTACAGATAGGGGACATTGATCAGGGTAGTTATATACACACTTCTACATACAGGGGACATTGATCAGGGTAGATGTATACACACTTCTACATACAGGGGACATTGATCAAGGTACGTGTATACACACTTCTACACACAGGAAAATCATGAAAATTGCCTCTTCGAAAACTGTGAATTAGGGGTAAAGAGAAGATATTTAGCTGTTGTAAAACAATAAGAAAACATGAAATATCATTGGAGTCAGACTTCAGACCCTTAAAAAAGTGAAAATAAAGAATTCGACTGTTTGTAATTATTTTAACTTACAAGAGATCTTAGGAAGAAAGAGAGTAAAGGGAGGTAAACACTACATAACGAGGGATGACATTGATCAGGGTAGCTATACACACTTCTACAAACAGAGGACATCGATCAGGGTAGGTGTATACACACTTCTACATACAGGGGACCATGACATTGATCAGGGTAGGTGTATACACACTTCTACATACAGGGGACATTGATCAGGGTAGGTGTATACACACTTCTACATACAGGGGACAATGATCAGGGTAGGTGTATACACACTTCTACATACAGGGGACATTGATCAGGGTAAATGTATACATACTTCTACATACAGGGGACATTGATCAGGGTAGATGTATACACTTCTACATAAAGGGGACATTGATCAGGGTAGATGTATACACACTTCTACATACAGGGGACATTGATCAGGGTAGGTGTATACACACTTCTATATACAATGGACATTGATCAGGGTAGGTGTATACAAACTTCTTCATACAGGGGACATTGATCAGGGTAGATATATACACACTTCTATATACAGTGGACATTGACCGGGGTAGCTGTATGCACACTACTACATACAGGGGACATTGATCAAAGTAGATGTATACACACTTCTACATACAGGAGACATTGATCAAAGTAGATGTATACACACTACTACATACAGGGGACATTGATCAGGGTAGCTGTATACACACTTCTACATACAGGGGACATTGATCAGGGTAGGTGTATACACACTTCTACATACAGGGGACATTGATCAGGGTAGATGTATACACACTTCTACATACAGGGGACATTGATCAGGGTAGATGTATACACACTACTACATACAGGGGACATTGATCAAAGTAGATGTATACACATACTACATACAGGGGACATTGATCAGGGTAGCTGTATACACACTTCTACATACAGGGGACATTGATCAGGGTAGATGTATACACACTTCTACATACAGGGGACATTGATCAGGGTAGATGTATACACACTTCTACATACAGGGGACATTGATCAAAGTAGATGTATACACACTTCTACATACAGGAGACATTGATCAGGGTGGCTGTATACACACTTCTACATACAGGGGACATTGATCAGGGTAGCTGAATACACACTTCTACATACAGGGGACATTGATCGGGGTAGATGTATACACACTTCTACATACAGGAGACATTGATCAGGGTAGGTGTATACACACTTCTACAGATAGGGGACATTGATCAGGGTAGTTATATACACACTTCTACATACAGGGGACATTGATCAGGGTAGATGTATACACACTTCTACATACAGGGGACATTGATCAAGGTACGTGTATACACACTTCTACACACAGGGGACATTGATCTGGGTAGATGTATACACACTTCTACATACAGGGGGACCATGGCATTGATCAGGGTAGGTATATACACACTTCTGCATATATCAGGACCATGACATGTTTTATTTTATATTATTTGAACACTTTTGTGCATGGATAATCTTTGTAAATTACAAAGATACATTTAATGGATCAGTACAGGCTATGAATATATAAGTGATATGAAATGCTTTTAAAAAATCAATTAAGCAATGCCAGGGTGTTAATAAGTCATCACGTTGCTGTTGGATTTCTGGCATATTTCATTAGATATTTTAAGGCTTGGCTTCCTTCTCTTATTGAGAAACACCATTGAAATAAACAGATAATGTATACAAAAAGGATTCAGTTGACACCTCAAACGCTCATGTTACGAGTTTTTAATCATAGAAAGGCTTAATGTGACTGGTTGAGAGATAAGAAAAACAATCAAGATTTGTCATTTTTTCTAAATACATTGCTTCAGTCAGCCCACGAATGTTGAATGAACATGCCAAGGGTCAATGGGAAACGTGTTGACTCAGGACACATGTACAATTAGAATATCTACTTTCATGTTCTCGGTGTAAAGTACATCAAGAAAAGTGTACTAAATAATTAAGTAATTTATTTTACATTGTTTCTTATAAAATGTAAATGTAGATATTCCTCAAATCAGATGATTCCTTACTCATTGATTTGTTGCTACTATTGTTCGTGCTGAAGAGGGATAAGATCAGCTAGTTTTCTAGATTATTTGATTTTATTTGTTAGTCAGTTTAGGATACTAGTAAGTCATTTAAAATAATATTGTAAATGTGATATGAATAATAATTCATTATAAGGAATTGGTCCATTTCCTAAAGCATATAGGTCGGGATTTTAATGAAGAAGGAAAGGAAAGACACAGATTCTGGTGATACCACCACCAGTGTATCCTGGGTAAGTTTGGATTTTATTTTTGCCAAATTCAAATTACATGTAATTGTAACATTGATTTAGCAGTCAATAAATAAGTAGTAAAGGTTAATAAATCTTGCAGACTTTTAAGAATTTAACATGTATCCTCAAATGAAAATTACAATGCATAATAACACATTTCATCTGTAATACGTCTTATATTGTGATTTGAAACACTTTGACTAGTCCTTCCCGGTATCCCACCCACAGTGTAGATTTGTATAGGGATAGAGAAGATGGACTGTTCACTTCATTATCTGTCAGTAAGAACTTCAGGAAATCCCCGTCAGAACTCAGCAGATGGATCTGTTTGTTGTTAGCATCAGTAACAAGGATGTTACAGAGGGAGTCACACATTACATCAGTTGGAATAGAGTTCTCTGTCACATTCTGTCCACGGTAGACAGACTTCATACGACCAGATTGAGACATAATCACTAGTTCACTTGTATTGTTACTTGTATCGTTCACAACACAGATATCACTGTTACTGTTCTGTGTGACTCTGTATGGCCATGTAAACAGTCTTGTCTGACCGTCCTCCTGGTACTCATACTCATGGATGACATCACCCGTCACTGTGACGTGTCTCACAAGACGTCTGCTGTGTGACTCTAATTTATACCTATCTGATTCCCAGTCTATCAAAACGACCAGTAGTCCACCGTCCATTGTCTGACAGATTCCTAATGGCACCAGTGGATCTGTACTGGTGACTGTAGAGACAGATCCTGATGGTGACAGACGGCTGATGGATTTGTTTTTAAAGACAGTCAAATAAACATCACCAGTATTAGTTACACACATGTCACCAGCAATAATATTATATCTATGTTTTATTTCACCTTTTTTGTTTATTTGTTCAGTGCAACGTGTCTTCTTTATATCCCCTATGTAACAATGATCTTCACACAATGCCTCCAATAAATGTATTATGTTATTTCCATATTTAAATGAGCTTACTTCACTCAAACTGATATCATCTAAATTCAGAGTATCTCCGATTATATTTTGTAGCACCATATAACTGATTTCTCCTTTACTGTATCTTATTGAATGGTTACAGTTCCTAATATCAACATCCGGGCTAGAGAGCATTTTTGTCAGTTCTCTGTGGTTGTCAATCAAGCTGTAATCTGTCATGGTACTGCGGTTTTCCTGTATGAACTTAACTACCTCTTGAATTTCTCTCCTCTTTTTGTCCATCTCAGATTTCTTACTTTTCAATTTTTCATTTTTTTTCCTCCAAATTGTCTCTCAACATTTGTTCAGTATGTTTCCTGATTTCCAATAACCTGGCCATTATCTCATCAACATGCTTCTGAAGCTTTTTAATCTCTGAGTCACAAATTTCTTCATTTTCTGTGATCTGTTTTGAAACCATCTCTATCTTAGCATGAATTCCAGGCAGTTCCCCTTCTTTGATGTTTGTCAGAAATTTAAGCAGACCTCTCCTCCTTTGGGTGGCTGCCGTGGATAAAGTGTTCCACTCATGATCTCTATGGTCTGATTTGGCACACTTTGCACAAATGAATTCATCAGTCTTCACATATCATATCAATAGGTAAATCGTGGGTTTTACACATTTCAATATGTTCTTGAGGAGAGCCCAGTGGATATTTGGGTTTACTAACTTCCATGTTTGTTGAATCTTGCCGAATGTAACTGCATTACGCATAAGGAGCTATGAATTATGAAGTAGGTAGACTTCCGAACTTAAAAATTTATACCATGTTGTCAGGATATTGTTCAATTTGATGTACAAAAAAAAGGAAGATGCACACAATCAACTTATCATCAAGAGTTTGCTTTGTTTTTTGTCAAGGGCTTTATGAGGTTTTTTTAACCCTAGATGCAAGAAAGAGAAAATGTTTGATGAATAAAATGTGTGGTGGTTTTTTTTCATAAATTTACAGAAATGTAGAAGGGATGTTTGGTAAATCAGACTTTGATGAGCTGCTACTTGTTTTGGATGGATTTAGTTTGATGACGTATCATTTCTCCAATCCATCTTGGTAATTAACAAAAATTTAAAAGAGACATCATCTCAAAATGTTACTGATTGACAGTTAGGTAATTTATCACATCTGCCAGGAATATAAAGGTAATTTTAGACTTAAGTGACATCAAGGTAATACATTTAATCTGTCATCAGTTACAAATAATAGATGATTGAAATTCTGTCAGAAACCTTGTTTGCTTCATAGCTGCTCAAAAAACTCCTGAACCTTCAGAAGAGCATGCAGCAGAATATAAGTAAGTAGAGAGGACAAGATTCAGCACAATGCTGTAAAAGTTTACAAGTCTTAACTACTGTTGTCAGAGCAAGAAAGCGTATAATTCAGTATAATGCTGTATGGATGAAATTAGTCTCATTGATCTAGGGCAAACGAATAAGACTATTATTGGCACAAATATTATTTAATGTATTAAGCTGTTTGTATTAATCATAAGTAGTTTGCCTACTTGAAAATTGAATCCTGAATTTTTTTTTTTCCTTTTTTCAGGACTGACAGATCAAAAAGTGTCATTTTTTACCCAACATTTCTTTCTCTACAGAAACGAATAGAACTTGCTAAACAACTAGAAACAAGAATCTCTATCTGGGAAATTGGACAAGGACTGGACTACTTTTATGATTTATTGTGATCTCTAGATAAATCTTGTTGTGTTTTGTTAATTATTACTTTTTTATTATTTCATATGTATAAGGGGGAATCTGGTGAAGAACAGCATGGCCAAAGCCATTCAGGTGAGCGATGTGGCCCATAGGCCTCTTGTTAATTTGATTATTTTCAGCGTCTTAAAAATGTCACCGTTTGTCCTTTTGAAGAACTTGAGATTGCGTTGTCATTTATAGAACTTGACGTAGCACTGCCAGGATCAACGTATACATTATTTTATCATTTATTTCCCTCACGATATCTGGATTTATAATTTTGCAGCAGTATGTAATGATACCTTGTCTGATTCATAATTCTGAGATTTTAAACAAGGAAGTCAGAATTGACATTATGTTAAATAAGAAAAGTTTCAAATTATATGTGCATATTTCCCTCTACTGAAATACATATAAAGCAAACCACACGATCTTAATTATAGTTTATGATATTTATAGCTAAGCTTTACTATAATTATAGTACACTGTATAACGATTCAGCACGTAGTATATGAAATATCAACCTTTTAATATATATCCAATGTATTAAATATTCAATGTTTCAGCATGTGGAAACATATGAACCATAAACCTTTTAATACAGTGCTGTAAATGTATGCATAGTGAAAATAGTGAAAACAGTTAAACTTTGTGATCTTTGACCTCAGTTGGATCAAAGATAAAGCTACTTAAGGATATCCGATCCTCAGTCAGGAAGGATAACTCCAAAATTAATATTTGATTTGAAATGCATCAAAATAAAGCTTGAAAATGAAATTTTTTATGCAACAATTTTCATATTATTCATCTTTAAAAGATTCGTGGTTTTTGAAAAGGTATAAAATTTGACATTTTTACCCTATAAAAGGAAAAAAAATAAATACAATTTTAGAGAAATAAGATTTTCTTGAATCCAACCTTAGATACAAATGCTTATTAGCATGATATGAAAAAAGAAGTGATTTGTGGTGTCTTGCAATGATAGCAAAAGCCTTTTTCGTTTTGTATTATAGAATACATGACGGAAATAGCAGACAAATAATATCAAATAAGTATGAAAATCATGACAATTTCTCTGAATGCCTGGATACCTATCATTTTTTAACCTAAAATATATTTGTTGATCTATTTGCAATTAGGGAATGCATTGCTGATATTCCAATTCGCTTTTTCTGCATAAATATTTGAGATCTGATAAATTTCTCTATTTAACATGATTAACTTTAATCTTAAACTTTAAAGACGTACTGTGGATTCAGAAATACTTTTATGAGTAGTTTTAATTACTTAACTGCTAATTTTATAAACCTGAGGATCGGACTACCTTAAGTACATGAAAGATAATAATATAATTTGAACTTCAAATTTTTCAATATATATTTGTAACAAAAGTGAAAATCATAATTATATAATCATTATCAAATAGATAATGAATCACCATCTATCGAGAATTGGTCCATTTCCTGAAACACGTAGGTCAGACTTTCAATGAAGAAGGAAAATCACTGATTCTGGTGATACCACCACCAGTGTGTCTTGGGTAAGATTGGATTTTAAATAAATAAAATAATTAAACACAATTATACACGTATAAAATTGACATAAAATATTAAGCCAGAAAGCCATTGTGATGTCAGTAAAATCATATAAAAAAAAGTATGTTTTAAAACACGTATAAAATTGACATAAAATATTAAGCCAGAAAGCCATATGTAAAAAGTTGGTAAATCTTACAGATTCTTAAGATATACTGAGAAAATTGTGTACCGGTAATGACAAACAATTAATTTCCTAAAAAATTGAGTTTTAATAGCGAAGAATATTCTGAAATATTTTAAGTTAAAAAAATATGTCGTGAAAAATATTTTAGATATTAGATTATATATATCACTTATGCTGAATCAATCGCATCATCTTGGGTCTTTCCGTCAGAGGTCGGAAAAACAACCTCGAATGTATTAACATCACTGGATGTTAAAAATTTATACATTTCCTGTTTATTCAAATGTAGGATAGACGGAGATAGAAGTTCCTTCTAAAGTATATTTTAAGTAATATAATTACATTGAATAAAGTTAAACTCAATATTCCACAGATAAAAGGTCCCTTGTGCATTTATTTCAAAGGAATTGTCATGGCGTCTTCCTAGTACATTCGAGATCTTTTTTCCGCCAGTCGTAAAGGCCCGAGAAGTTGCGATTGATGCTGAATGGCATTTAATCGGGTTCGCTATTCAACTTTACCTATAAACGATATGTTCACAGTGCAGAACTGTTTGTCACAAGAAGTCACTAAAAGGAAAAGTAATGTAAATAATTAACAAAATACGCAATGCACACTAAAGAAAAACTATTTAATTAGTAAATTCATGTATTTTATGCATAATATTACTATAAATAAATAATACATCAAATGTCCAGACGTTTGTCAACGATATACGTTCGGTGTTGTGTAAAAATACTCAGTACTACATTTTTGCCGCCAGGAAAATTACCCATTTTCGATGACTCGCCTATAAGTCGGATATAGAGTTTTGGACCAAAAATCAACTCCCAAAAAACCGACTTATAGGCGAGTATATACGGTAACAAGTCACTTCAAATAAATATTACAATGAATTATATCACACATTTCCCATAGTGTACTGAAACTCTTTGACAAGTCCATCAATGTATCCTAGCCACAGTGTAGAGTTGTATAGGGACAGTGTGTATGGATAGTTCACTTCATTGTCTGTCAGTAAGAACTCCCCGTCAGGACTCAGCAGATGGATTTGCTTCTAGTAAGAGTCAGTAACAAGGATGTTACAGTGGGGGTCACACACTACATCAGTTGGATTTAAGTTCTCTGTCAGGTTCTGTCCACGGTAGACAGACTTCAAGTCTCGTATGTAAAAATGATCTTCACACAATGCCTCCAATACAACTATTACGTTATCTCCATATTTAAATAAACTTGTTTCGTTCAAACTGATATCATCTAAATCCAGAGATTTTCCAACCTTATTTTCCAGTACCGCATCACTGATTTCTCCATTCCTGTATCTCACTGAATGTTCACAGTCCCTTATATCAACATCCAGGCCAGACAGCAGTTGTGTCAGTTCTCTGTGCTTGTCAATCAAGCTGCAATCAGACATGGTGCTGTCGTTGTCCTCCATAAATTACCATCTCTTCTATTTCTTGCTCCTTTTTGTCAGATTACGTACTTTTCAATTTTTCATTTTTTTCCTCCAAATTATCCTTCAATATTTGTTTAATAGTTTGTTTGACTTTTAATATCCTGGATATTATCTCATCACAATGCTTCTGTAGCTTTTTAATCTCAATGAAACGCGGTGCTTCATTTTTTGTGATCTGTTTTGAAACCATTTCTATCTTCTCATTTATCCCAGGCCGATCCTCTTCCTTGATCTTCCTAAGAAAACTTACTTGACCTCTACGTCTTTCGGTGGCTGCCGTAGATAGTTTTTTCCAGTCTTGAGTTCTATGACTTCTATGATCTGTTTTAGCACACATAGTACAAATAAATTCATCACAGTCCTCACATATTATACCAATAGGTAAATCATGGAATTCACACATCTTGACATGCACGAGCGGAGAGCCCAAGGAAGATTTTGGTTTAATCTCTGCCATGTGATTGATTGATTGATTGTATACTGTTTAATATCCCTCTCGAGAATTGTTCACTCATATGGAGACGTCACCATATGCCGGTAAAGGGCTTCAAATTTTGACCTTTACTCGGCACTCAGGGCCATTGAGCAGTGAGGGATCTTTAATATATCGTGCCAACGCCTGCCGCTGCCAAAGGGCCTCGAATTTAAGGTCTCATCCGAGGGACCCGCAACTTTCACTTCAAAGTGCCGAGCGCATGGCGAAGGAACATTTGCTACCCATTTTAACGACTAGGTCAGTCGCGACCGAGATACGAACTCACGACCTCCCGGTCACGGAGCGGGCGTTCTACCGACTGAGCTCTGCCATGTGTGTTGAATTTTGGCTACCTTCGATGTAGCTTTGAGTTAAATGTAGGTAGCTAATGCACTTTGAAGTAGGTGGACATTTGGACTTTTAAATTGATAACATATTATCAAGATAACAATTCAAGTAGATGCACTCTACACATGTTTCAACTTTATATCAAGAATTTGTATTAATCTAAGGCACAATATTTTAATTGAGAGAGAGAGAGAGAGAGAGAGAGTAAAATGTTTCTTGTTTCTTTTTTCAATTTACAGAAATGTAGAAGGGATGTGTGGTAAATCAGACTTTGATGAGCTGCTACAGGTCTGTTGTGGATGCATTTAGTTTGATGACGTATAATTTGTCCAATCCGTCTAGGTTAAATGTA